GATGGAAACAGTGTGCCCAAAAGGAAGCTTAACTCTGGGAGTTTGTTATTGCCCACCAGATCAAAGGCTAGAAGATTATTTTAAAACAGCAAAAGAATTAAGGAAAGCAGCTAGACAAAATAACTGTGTCATAATAGGTTATTTTAACTACCCACACACTGATTGGGTCAATATGTGTTCAAGTCAAAAGAAAGATATTGGATTTCTAGATACTCTCTATGAGTGTGCCATGGAGCTGATGGTCACAGAACCTACCAGGGGGGAGGTGATCCTGGACTTGATCCTAAGTAATGCTCAGGACCTGGTGAGGGATGTAAATGTGACAGCAGCCCCAGTTGGGAACGGTGACCATAATACTATTAAGTTTAGCATTTATGTAAATAGGGAGTTTCCCAAAACGACCAACACAACCACATTTAACTTTAGAAAGGGTAACTTCTCTCAAATGAGGGGGATTGTGAAGAAGAAACTGAAAGGAAAGGTAAGGAGGGTCAAATCCCTTTGGGAAGCTTGGAGACTATTTAAAACAACAATCCTGGAAATGCAGATAAAATGTATACCACAGGTTAAGAAAGGTACAAATATCTATGAAAAAAGGCCTGTATGGTTAACGAACAAAGTAGTGGAAGCAGTAAAAGGTAAGAAGGATTCCTTTAAGCAGTGGAAGGCTAGTTCAGATGAGGTAAATAAAAGGCAGCACAGGCTTTGGAAAATAAAATGCAAGTTGGTGATCAGACAGGCACAAAGGGACTATGAGGAACACATTTCAAAAAACATAAAGACCACTCAAAAACTGCCAATTTCAGGAAGAGTGTTAAAAGACCTGAGTCAGATTGAGGTGACAAGACAGGAGGTCCTACAACTGATGGACAAGCTAAAATAACCAGACCCAGAGGAGATACAGTCAGTCTAACACTGATACCAGGTAAACTGGTGGAATTAGTAGGCACATTGATGAACAAAAGCTATTGAGAAAGAATCAGCATGGATTCTGTAAGAGAAGATCTTGTCTCACTAACCTTTTAGAATTCTTTGAGGGGGTGAACAAACATTTGAAGAAAGGTGGCCCAGATGTTGTTTACCTAGACTTCCAGAAAGCTTTTGATAAAGCTCCTCATCAAAGGCTCCTAAATAAACTCAGCAATCATGGGATGACAAGTCCTCTTGTGGATTAAAAACTGGTTAATGAATAGGAAACAGAGAGTGAATATAAATGAGCAGTTTTCACAGTGGAAGGTGATAAGCATGGGGGTACTGCAGGGCTCAGTACTAGGTCCGGTGCTTTTTAACTTCTTCATTAATGATTTGGAGTTGGGAGTAAACAGTGAAGTGGCTAAATTTGTGGATGATACGAAGTTCATTAATGATTTGGAGTTGGGAGTAAACAGTGAAGTGGCTAAATTTGTGGATGATACGAAGTTCATTAATGATTTGGAGTTGGGAGTAAACAGTGAAGTGGCTAAATTTGTGGATGATACGAAGTTCATTAATGATTTGGAGTTGGGAGTAAACAGTGAAGTGGCTAAATTTGTGGATGATACGAAGTT